CGCCTCAGCCTTCCAAGTAGTTGGAACTACAGGCTTGCGCTACCACGCCTGGCTAATTTTTGACTTACTGTAGAGATGAGGTCTCGCCAATTTTCCCAGGCGGGTCTCGAACCCTCAGGCTCAGGCGATCCATTCACCTCAGCCTCCCAAAGCCGCGGGATTACGGGCTGAGCCACTGAGCCCGGCTTCTTTTGTCGTTTTTATTCATTTGAAATATGTGAGAAATGCTGAGAGGACATTCACAACTGTTGTCAGACCAGAGCATAGAAGGGAGAAAATGAACATAGGAGCTGGGGAAATGAATGAATAAATAAAAGAGAGCCTGAAATCAAGTGCGGTGGCACATGCTTGTAATCCCAGCACTTCGAGAAACCAAGGAGGAGGATCACTCTGAGACCAACCTAGGTAACATAGTGAGACCTCATCTGTACAAAAAAAAAAACAAAATAAAAACAAATTAGCTGGGCTTTGTGATGTGCGCCTGTAGTCCCAGCTACTTGGGAGGCTGAAGTGGAAGGGTTGCCTTAGCCCAGTAGATCAAGGCTGTGGAGAGCTGTGATTGTGCCACCGTACTCCAACCTGGGTGACAAAGTGAGACCATGACTCAAAAATAAAATAAAATGACTGAGAGAAAAATATTCATAATAGGGAGTGTCAGATCATCACTAATATTTCCTCAAGTATTTAACCACATGTCACCACCACTTTGAAATAGACACGGAAGTTGAAAACATTGGAAGGAAGACCAGGCGGTGGCTCATGCCTATAATCCCAGCCCTTTGGGAGACCGAGGCGAGAGGATTGCCTGAGCCCAGGGGTTTAAAATCAGCCTGGGCAACTTGGTGAGACCTCATCTCTACAATAAACCAAGAAAAATTAGCTGGGCATAGTGACTCATGCCTGTAGTTCCAGCTACTTGAAAGGCTGAGGCAAAAGGATAGCCCGATCCCAGCAGGTTGAGGCTGCTATGAGTGTGCCACTACACTCCAGCCTGGGCAACAGAGTGAGACTCCGACTCAAAAAAGAAAAAAGAAAAGAAAAAGAAACAGAAAAAGAAAAGAAAAGAAAACATTGCAAGGAATCATGAGGGGATAGATGGAAGAAGCTCAATCTGTGTTAGATGTAAGGTTCTCTCTCTCTCTCTCTCTCTCTCACACACACACACACACACACACACACACACACACACACACACACACAAGGTCTTTATGAACAACAGTATCTTTCCCCACGCTTATTATCAAGTGTCTGCAGACCCAAGAACTAAGGACATGGTACATTTATCATGGTCAAGACCTGTGTTAAGGAACATGGGCTAGATGCCATGATCCTTCTTACTAATGAAGAATTGAGCACTCAAACCAGGAAATGTACGTTTAAGGTGAAAGTGAACAATTTATGGAAATACATAGTCTTCTATTGGGCCCTTGCTTAAGACTTTCCTAAGTTCTGTGTCATTGTCCAAACTTTGTGTGCTTTGTGTTACAGCAAATGGAAACGCTTCTCTGAAGAAGGTGATGGAGGATGTGACAGCAAATTAAAAGCTGTGGTAAAGATTAAAATCCTAATTCTGTAATGATATTTTCCCCATCTTTTCATTTAATATGTATATTTATGAGCAAAGCACTAATATCTGTGATTTATGAGCAAAACACTAATAATCAGCAGAATATTGAATATTTCCAAAATAATCACATCAACCCACTGTTACGTCCCTGCTCCAAGCCCCGCCCCTTCACTCCTTGAGATGACTCTCCTGAATTTCATATTGCTTATTCTTCTTTTGGTTTTGTTTTTTTTTTTTGAGTTGGAGTCTCACTCTGTCGCCCAGACTGGAGTGCAGTGGCCGCTCCCGGCCACCGCAGCCTCGACCTGCTGGGCTCCGGCTATCCTTCCGCCTCAGCCTTCCAAGTAGCTGGAACTACAGGCGTGCCACGCCCGGCTAATTTTTTGATTTACTGTAGAGATGAGGTCTCGCTGCCCAGGCGGGTCTCGAACCCGTGGGCTCAGGTT